TAATATGTGAGATAGCAAGATGAGTTTCATATCTTATAATTGTTGATGGAAAAGGATCTCATATATGATTATAAAATGTACAATGTATGTAGAATAGATTTATCTAATTCCTCTTTGATATAGTAACTTAATAAATAAAAAGAAAAAGATGTTTTACCATTTGACATTTTTAATTGTGTAAGTCAATGTAAAGATATTGTTAAAATCTATATGAAAAGAATTAGATACGCACAAGCCAATTGAAGACACTTGAATCATCGTTTAAACTAAAAGGAAAGAAAATACTAAGAAAAACAAAACAAAAAAAAATCAATTGAAAGAAATAATGGAAAAGTTGGTGGAAGAGGGTGGAAGCAAAATGGTTGAGTGGGGAGGAAAACGAAAATAAAAGAGGTTGGTAATGGAAGGTGAAGGAAATAACTCAAAGGAGACAGTAACCAAGTTGATGAAACAAATTGCCTTTAGTATTCCTTTGGTAAACAGATGTCTTATATATACTTGTTTTAGCTTTGCAACAACTCCCCCCCTGCACCAATAGGGACTCTTCATCTACTGCATTCAATCTTCCAAGAATATTTTCAGCTTTTTAATTTTATTTGAATATTTAAGGTTTGACAAAAAATATATATATAGATGAAAATGAAATGATTCTCTAGGGTTCACATGGGTTAATTAACTTTAAAGACATAGCCCGGACTACATGGCCCAAGTTACAAATCAATAGAAAATTAAGGAAAGTATATTATATATATATATAATTTAAGGTTTTTTTTTTTTTTTGGTTCAGATTTGATAGTTTCTAACAAGAAGGATTGATCTTCAATCTAATAGTAAGAATTGTACAGTTTAAAATGTACATTTTTTTTCTTTATAATTTAATGTAATATAATATTGTAATAAATCTATTTAAAATTTATTCACTGAAAAAACGATCTACTTGGGATTCAACTTGAACCTGGATACAACATATAGTATTAAAATTTTTTATTTCAATAAGTTTAAAGGTAAATGTGAAATTTTAAGCACTAATACAATAGTAATAGTAGTGCTGAGCAGGTGTTAAATATATATATATATATATATTTTGAACTTGAGCATGTGTTAAATTTATTCTCTTTGTCATCGGGGTAACCTAAATTAATTATGACAATTAAAAAGAAATGGATGGGCAGTAAAAATAATAATAATAATAATAGAAGTAACCATAAATACACATACTCTATCTTACTAAAATGGAGGAAGACATATATAGTGGATGCATGTGGTGGGATCCAGACGTAAAATCAACACCTTAAAGAACGGAGATTCCTTTCAAATTTTGGCCATGCAAACAAAATGTTGTACTTCTTGAAGTACACAAATTATTAGGGCAAAAAATGCTCGTGAACCTTCCTTGAATAAATTACCGCAAGAAAACGATAATATCGACACCAATGTATATACTTTTTTCAAAATGGAAAGTTCATGAATAGTATTCATGCATGATTGATGATATATGTACAAATGGAGGAAAATATCTCTTACCTAGGGTATGAAAAACCACAAACCTTAACTCGAAACCTCTCAATGCCTACTTCTTCCTGTGCTCTCTTCACTATGCTCGACTACTGTGAGAGTTTTTTTTTTTTAGATACGTTTGTGAAAGGCAGAAAGCTAGCTAGGAATTAATTAGGTGGGTTTGTGTAAAGGAAAGAAGATAAGAGTTTTTGATAATTTGATCTTTGGGCATGTTGTTGTTGTTGTTTATTAGTATATATGTAGCCATTCTACAAGAAGAATCAGTCAGTTTATTTTTTTATTCTCTCTCTCTTGCTCTGTGGTCTGCGCCTCATTATTGTAATCTCTGGAATTTGGTAAAAAAATGGGAAACCCTTTTCTTAAAAACAACAAAGTCAATTTGTTATTTCAAAAAACTATGGAGATTGATGAGGAGACTTCATTAAAAAAATTAACTGCTGCAGAGAGGAGGAAGATGAGTAGATGGGGGCATGGTGTTTCGATGAGTTCCAATGAAATGGAATATAGGGAAATTAAAATTGTCTCTCTTTCTCTCTCATTCTTTTAAACTACTTAAATTGCTTCAATGATCATCAATATTTAGAAATGGTAGTACAGACTGTACAGTAGTTGAGGTCCCCCCCAATCTCTACATTATACTAGTAAAGTACTAATATACAATCCCTAAATGTCCCCCCCACCCACCCCCTCCCCCCTTTTTGTAAATTACATCAAAATCTAATTGAAAAGGCTTGTTGTGGATGAGGACCTAAGTGCCATAATTAAGAAATCCATGGCGTAATTGAATCACTGTTAAATAATTAAGGAACATTCATGCAATTTACCAGTTTTTTCTCTGATCATCCGGTGTTTTGTTAAATTTTTTTTTAAAAAAAACTTCTGCTCATTGCCTCCACATGCACCGGCCGGCCGCTGTCAGTTGAGCTCATCAAGTCGTTCCGACCCATGGTAATATTTTAACTACATTGATTAATTAGTAGTAAAAAAAGAAAAAAGAAAAGAAAAAAAGAAAAAAGGAGGAGGAATAATTCAGCAATCTATCTATAAATTTAATGCAATAGCCATACATGGTAGTTAATTTATTAAGCATCCATGGTTCAATTTGCAGCTTTCGGTGCCATGATGATGATGTCTCCAGTCTCCCTCCCGTGATTGCCAGAGTGCATTTCAGAGTAACAATTTCCAAGCATGTTTCGTGCATGCTTTGGTTATAATAATAACACACTATAATTGTAGTTATAGTTTTTAAAATTTTTTAATATTAAAAAAATATATAATATATTTAATATTTATTTTAAATAACATTTTATATATTTTTAAAATAATTAAAAGACATAAAAATAAAAAATTGATAAATTAAAAAGTGTTCTCAAACAAATTCCTTAATAACAATAACATATTGGTCTAAATGAAAATATATTAGTTTCTTTAAATAAAATTTTCAATTCAAGTGTTATTAATAAAAAAAATAAATGTTAAGAGAATTTTTTCGAAATTTGATTAAACTATTTGGAGCCAATTCAATTTTCAAAATTCAAATACTAGAAAGTTTAGTAAAACTAAAAAAAGTATATAGTTTGCTAGTACTGAGGTTTATTGTTGGGCCT